GTGACATTCGATGGTGACGGGTTTAGTGTAGACTCCGTTTGTGAAGTCAAAAGAACAGGGACAACCCAGCGGCTGACTTGGGCCTGCTACAGTCAGCCATGGGCTTTTGGGAACGCAGACAAACGGCTCCTGGCAACTCAATCGCGAGCCTCCGCTGCTGACTGCAAAGCTTCCATACACCGGGTGACTTGGTTTGATGGTGAAGGAACCCTCATTTCGAAAGGCCTATATAAACTGTACAATGACGAACTGGGCTGGCGAGAATGTACAATGTGAGGCCACACAACAGGAAGACTTCCAACAATCGCAGAGTTCTCGAATTCCCCCTATAAATCTGAATGAAACTACAGTCCTCCATCTTCTGTGAGCTTGACGCAGCCTCCTCGCCAAGACAGGTCAAGGTAAGAGACCCGGCCATAATCAGGGCCCATCGCAATCTTCCCTAAACCCAGGTCGCCTCGAAGCCCTAAGGTCAACCCGAAACCGTCGCTCATACCTACGATGTCTGCCAACTTCTGCATTTGGCGTTCCTGCAAAAGAACGCTCACATCACGTCAGGAGCATGTGCGCGGTATGAGTATAGGGTGAACCCGTAGCGCCTGCTCCAGTTAGCAGGCTGCACAATCATTAGGTGGCGCTTAAAGCCTAGGTCTACGGTTGAGGGCTTCAGGCATTCAGGGCTCTGGGTTTAGTAGGTCTTCAAAGCTCAAACCTCAGGCCCTGAAGCTTAAAGAACCCTCATACCGTAACCCCCCCCTTCAAGAACCCTTATACAGGAAAAAAATTATACCGTAACACCCCTTAAGGAACCCTTACTGTACAGTTTCGAAAGGTTGAAAGGATATTGGCGCCTCATAGGCTGCTGCGTTTGCATCGAGGGAGCAGCGGAGGAAGAAGGGCACCTGGGCATCCGAGACCTCGGACGAGTCTTCCGTTTGGGTATGGAGTTGGGTTCTTGGGTATAGGGCTGTAGGGTTTAGGGTTAGGATTAAGGGTTCAGGCTTTGGGGCTCGAGGGCTTTCGACTCACACTGCTCGCACATGGCAGGCAACGCTTCACGACAAGTCTGAGATACGACAGAATCACAACTACACTCACATCCCGGGAGGCTGGCAACGGCGGACCGGCACTAGAAAAAAGGTCAGATGGCTAGATGCTTATAGACTTGTATGTCGAAGTAGCTATACAGATCCGCCATGCACAAGATACACTCCACCAAGCAGTAGCAACATGTGCCTCACTGCGAACCCTTAAGTCAACACCCCTCATCTCGAAATCCAGCATCCACTGAGTCCCGAGCTTCAGCAACTCCAAATCCAAAGCCCTCAACCTGAAAACCCGCAAAAGTAAAATCGCCCACAACCCGAAAAAAGCTCTAAACCCCAAACCCCGAAACACCAAAACCCGAAAATGCTCCAGCCCTACAAACACAACCAAAACCTCCGAGAGACCCGCTCTCGGAACTGCCCGGCCTCATGCGGGGAAGCTGTTTAGCGGCTTTTGGCTTCGGCGCTCACCTTGGGTTTGTTGCCTCGCAGATCGCTGGGACGAGCCCAGGATTGAGGGTTTCGCAACAAACTGCAGATTCATCAACCTCAGCTTCCGCACATCTGCCTCTGTATAAGGCTTCTAGGGGTGTTGCACGTGACAACCCTAAACCCTAAACATCCCTAAACCATTACACGAGCTTTTATGGGCTTATTCAGGATCTCTCCGGTTCACAGGCCCCGCACGCAGGAGGAAGCGGTCAAAGAGCGCCTGATCACGTGGAGGTTTCAAAACACAGGGGACCTCACAAATTATACTATTATAACAATACTAGTGGCAACAATAATACGAATATATAATAATAATAATATTAGTCGGAATAATCATAGTAATAACAATTACAATAATAATAATAATAATAATAGTAATAATAATAATAATAATAGTAATAATAATAATAATAATAGTAATATTAGTAATAATAATAATAATAATAATGATAATAGTAATAATAATAATAATAATAAGCTATGCGTATTGCACAGCCCCTATAGGTACTCGGACCCTGAAGATAAGGATCGTAAGTTTCGTAAACCCCACAAAGGGTGTTTCCCGCTTGCGTCAACCGATGCTGGCAGGACACGTATGCATGACAAGCCGTCCAGCTGAATTGACACTGATTCCCGGCACCCCTAAACCCGAATCTCGAGTACATGCGTGTCGTTTGATGTTTCCGGCTTCTCGGCAACAACCTGCTAATCTCGCCCTACCCTAAATCACACACAACCCCAGACACTGAAAGAAGTGTATTCCGCATTGCCACCTTGTGCTAATCCTGGCTGGGGTTGAGGGCTGGGTGCCCCAAGGTCATGAGAAAGGCAATCGTCCAAACCACGATCCTGATCAAGAGATACCGCCTTCATGACCATAATGCTCATTGCCCTACTTTCCTGGATGCCCATAATGTTCGAGTAAGCCAGAGTCTACCGACTGGCACCGGAGCTGTGCTTCTAAACCGTGCACCTCGAGCTCATCACTCTCGGGAAGCTCATTCGATGCAGCCACGGCGCACCACCTCGGAAGATCCCGGATTCTCTGTGACCGGCTCAAAAACTTGAAGTATCCAGGGCGAATGCGGCAGAGGAAGGGAAATGCGATAGAAAGCCCTGGGTGCTCTTGTTGTATGTTCACACTGGAGAGTAGTCGTTCCTCTAGTTCTACTTCCGACATACGTATATGATGTTTCCATTTGCTTCTTGTTTCGCTACCTACTATGTTGGTGGCGGGGATGCTGTGATTGTGCTGCTATGATCGTTGTTGCGATGCTTCTGCGCCCGTCCTGACACTGACCGCCACAGCCAGGCTCCCAACACGAGCAAAACCACACCTGCTTGAACTCTGAAACAGATCAATTTCAAGCCGGGAGCGACTGCCACACGGCCACAAGTGATGTCCGATGCAGACAGGCTCTGTAGACGCGAAGAATTCCTACTATAACTGGGAGCTGCGGGCTTTCGACGCTCATACTAGATCAAGCAGCTCGGAATTGTCCTTCCCCATAGCGCCGGAACATGTCTTGCTCAAAGGCCCTCCAAGCCCCCGCGTCCCGCTCCAAAATAGGCCGCAATACATTGTTTTCCAAGCCTTACCCAGATGCCCTGTAAACACCTATCTTCTTTTTCCTGTCGCACAGCCGTGGGCTCTGTACACATTGGCCTGCCTTCAGCACCGCTGCTACCTGTCATCGGGCGCTGCAACACATGTAACAATCAGCAGTGGGATGCAGAGATAATACCAGTAGCAGTAGCCGCGGTACTAGCGTGACGGGAGTCGTCGTCGGTAGTGTAGTCGCAGTGGTAGTGGTCGTGGTCGCGGTGGTGGCGGTGGTAGAAATAGAAGTGGAAGTAGAATTGGTAGTGGTAGAGGTAGTGGTGCTAGTAGTCGTCGTCGTCATGGTGGTGGTAGTAGTAGTAGTGGTAGTACGTGGTAGTAGTGTCGTCCTTGTCGTGGCAGTGGCTGTGCAGTGAGTAGCGGGAAACTGTTGCGTTCAGCTCATTCGATGGAGGAGCCCTGCAGGTCTGCTGCTTCCTCGGCAACCCGTGCAAAGACATCATGAAAGCACAGAGCCTAGGGCCTAGGGGTGCCAGCCGTCGCCACAGGTACACCACCGCATGAGCCTGGGACTTCACAGGTCTGAAGCTCGTGGGGGCTTTGGGGCGAGGCCGGGTTTCTTAGATCATGAAGCTCTGAATGTTGCCCGAATCCAGGCGGGTGGGCGATGCCTACGTAGATGTCGACAACAACAAAAGTAGATTCAGCTCTGCTGCGGTGGCATATACGCTTTCCGGATGCTCTCTGCCACAGCCGTCGCCGTGGCTCCTCGCCGCCCCGCCAGCAAAGCATGCGAAGTTTTTCGATACTACTATAACTAAGACTATAACTATAAACCCCAAGCGCATCCAACATCTCCCGCTAGCACTGCACTCCCCTAAACGCAGACTCTTTTCTCTGCGGTCCGAACAGACATTACTGTTCCCATGGTCGCGAAGCTGCAAGGCTGCTTGTAGCAGTTTTGTTAACTGCCTTTCCTTCTTCAAGGCTTTCATGTTCCACTATGTTATGATTCAGGGCGTTCACTAAGCAAAGAAACTGAACCCTGTGGCTCAGCACCCACAGCTCTCAACTCAAACTGCAAACCTTAAGCTGCGACTCTAAATTCGAAGCCCCAGAAAAGAACTACGTGTCAAACGAGCTCCTGGAGCATCCCAGGCAAGCTGCTGTACAAGGTCGATCCTTCAGGCGTGGCACATAACTTAGTCAGAGCAGGCTCGCTCACACATGCCACACAGTTGCTTTGTAAAGCACTTGCTAGGAAAGGATTCGTTGTATAAGCTACACAAACACGGAAGGAACTGGCAGAGCAACTCCGATGTATCCATTCCCATGATTGCCCTGCATATTTGGGAAGCCCACATCGAAACCCAACGACTCTTCAGCCTGTGGCAAAGCTCCGCAGCGTAAGCGCGAACATAACCTTCCCGGCAGGGCTGTCGTAGGAATTCCGAAAGCCAAGGTATCGGCTGCTAGCCTGGACCGACTCAACAATGAATTTAACGTGCCCAAAGCTGCAAGCACATGATTTCAACCTCACAATGACTTCCATCTCAGGGCACAGATAGTGCTGTATCTTCGATTCCTTGATTAATCGACTCCACCATCTGTGCCCCGTGAAGTTGTGCAACGGGTCGCGTAGTGCAGCAGAACAGAAAATAAACTGGTATCATGTTAGAGTCGAACTTTTCAAATCTGTAAACTTCAAACAACAAAAGTGGAGGTTCTTTCGCAAGGTTCCAGAAGATACCATCCAACAGCGTCAGAACATTCAAGTGATGTGACCCCTACCAGCCCTACCACAAGGACTACGCCAAAAAAGTGGAAACCGTACCCTTCGCCAAAACATCCGTGCCATAATGCGACTTCCCTGAACCCTAAACCCCGAACTCAACTCTAACTCACTCTGCCACGGAGCGATCGGGGTCTTTGGGCTTCACTGCTTGGGCGGTTGCCCGGAGAGCCTCCAAGCAGCCGTCCTCGCACAGGATATATACAAAACAACACGAAAAAATCTCGGGTGTTGGTGCTCTTTTGCTGCCTGCCGCTCCGTAGGTCACGACGAGTTTAGACTTTCACCCTCGCGCAGATGCTTTGGAATCGGAGCTTGGGGGTAAGAAATGTGAGTGCAGGTGTGGGGTTCTCGATGAACTCCAGGCAGCCCGAGAATCATTACCAAACAATCGCGGGAAGGACCCGCTTATCTGGCTTATCTAAGGAACACTCCATCTCAGACGAAACAACAAGATGCTCGTTCGCAACAGGAACATAAGGAGTCATTATTGGCGCTAATGGCAGTAGCGGTACAAGGTGATCGTATGTAGGAATGCAGGGCTCGCTAGAGGTATCTGTATACTTCCTTTGCGGTGAGGCTGCCACGCAGTAAAACATTCAACCCCCTTTGAGAGCTGCAGCTGCAGAAGATTCAAGGGATCCGCGCATAAACCCTGAATTACGGGATCCCTGTTCTGGCAACGCCGCCCCTGGTAAGAAACCCGAACAAGGAGCCCAAACCTTTCCTTCGCACAACACCGGAAAAATCCATCCTGCTCCAGGGCCCCAGAGGTGAGCAGCCGCAGCAGGGCATGCAGCGCAGTGGCGCGGACGGCACCGACCTTGGCCAAGATACATACAAAAAGGGGGCTTAACAATCAAATAAAGTCTCGGGGGCATGTTGTACTACAAGTGGGCTGGTGGAACTTCTGATAATCGGGGTTATCAGTGTTTAAGTACTGATAGTTATGGCTATGTGTTCGTTCATTTCATTCATTCATGTCTCTGTTTGTTTATTGGGAGGTAAGATGGCTGTTGGTTGTTGGGTGCTCGTGCTTGCTACCATGGTTAGTTTGCATGCTGCTCCCACCGCTGTTGCTTCAGGGTTTTGGGGCTGGAGGGTTTGGGACTGACCCCGAAGCAAGAAAATTCACGTCCCAAATCCTGGAGGTATCGAGATTGGAGCTTCCAGGCAGCTAGGGTCAGGGTTGGAGGGTGCAAGCAACTAGGGCTGAGAGACATACCAGCTCCCTGATCGATGCTAGGCTCTTGGGAAGAACGGGCTCGACGCAGCGATGTTGTCCTATGAAACCGCGAGTTCTTGGCCTCAAAAGGGCTTGAGCTTCACGATTGACAAAGGTCGGATTTCACAACATCCAAGGCCTCATGGTGCCACACGGATAACCAACTTAAATCAAAAGAACATCGGAACATGCAGGCCTTCAAACCCGGCGGTTAGCAACAGCATTACTGTCAGCGGTTTTAGACACGAAAGCCTGCAAGTCTGCTGTGTGCAGCTTCCCCATCTGCACAAACAGGGAAGGGTTGTACAAATCTATTCTTTCGTTGTATTTCGCACCTGACTCCGAGCAAAGCAGAAAACCCAAACTCCGAATCCCAACGCTACTGCAAATTCAAACTTGTGTTGACACCCGCCTTCTTCTGCTTCAAGGCATTGGAGATAAGCTCCCAATACACCAGGCCCCCCTCTTGTCTGGGGCTTTGCAGGGGGCTATCAAATCGATTGAGGTTAAGCAACAAGCAAGCACAAATATACAATAAATCGCGCAGTCAGGCAGGCGGCGGGATCCTCGGCCACAGCGCGCTGCAGTGGCCAAGCACTATCCTGCCCAAGCCAGTCTTTCTGGCACATTGGCCTTCAGGCGCTAACAAACTTGTTACTTATGGACACAGGTTTAGGCATGACCACTGCGGTTGAGCCCGGAACCCCGCACAGAGACCATGCCCAGAGCTTGGACCCGAAGCCCAGAACCTCACCTGTGGGTGCAAGGAGGAGCTCGTACCACCGAAAAAGAACGCCCCAAGCCGTCAGTTTTTCTGCATCTGTATGAGATATACGATATTTTGGCTGCGTTGCAGGTGGCAAGTGTACTCGAAACATCACTGGACTGCAGACTAACTTACCGAAGACAGAAGACAGAAGGCTATACGATATACATATATATATATACACATGCATGCATGATGCAAACATACATGCATACGTGCATGCATACATACATACATACACAGACAGACAGACAGACAGACAGACAGACAGACAGACATACATAGATACACATGTGCCCATATGCGCATCCACCTGTATACATGCAAACATGTATATACACATACATACGCATATACATAGACGTATACGTGTCCACATTGCAGATTTCAGCTTGCAGATGTTGATGTACGAATGCATGCATACATACATACATATATATATATATACACACACATACACACACATACGTACATAACTATATATATATATACATTCTTGATGCAGTGTCCCTTTTTCATTTCATCGACGCATCCGTCGATAGTGCATTGGCATCTTCGGCACACGAATCCCGCCACAGCTATCTCCAGCTATGCTGGTGCCAGCTACACGGGTGGACCCGAGCTGAAAACCCCTCCGCGGTAAGCTACGAGGAACTCCCACTCACCGACGACTAGCTACGCGCGGACCCTGCAGACCAGGGACTCGAGGGTACACCCGTCTCACTGTCCGAACGAAGACAGTTCCACGAGGTATACGCCCGGCATCAACAATGCCACTCCGCAACCAGGGAGCTCTCACAAAGAGTACACCGATGAACCGCAAAGGTGCAGAGAAAGATAAGGAGGGCAGAGCCCTGTATTAGGGTGGGAAGGGAGGGATGAAAAAGGAACTCCTGATCTCAGGTCCAATTTCTGGAGATGATATTTTGGCTTGATAGGAAATGGCAGCGGCATGCAAAGGTCAAGCTCATGCTCAAGTGCAACAGCAGTGCCTAACACAGTTCCTACCAAGCAGACAGCACAATAATGATTTCAGCTCACCAAGCCTGCCCGAAGCACTAAGCTGGGCAACATTCTTGATGCAGTGTCCCTTTTTCATTTCATCGACGCATCCGTCGATAGTGCATTGGCATCTTCGGCACACGAAGCCCGCCACAGCTATCTCCAGCTATGCTGGTGCCAGCTACACGGGTGGACCCGAGCTGAAAACCCCAACGCGCTACTCCCAATGCACTATCCGGCGAGGAAGGAGAAAATGATTGATCGCACCGAGAAAGAGAAGTTCCACAGGCAACACGGCACGGAACTCTCGTGCACCTGGAATCGGTGTTCTTTGTACCAGGGGTCCTGGAGGCCCAACCTTGATATAGAATCACGCTATCTCCAGCTATGCTGGTGCCAGCTACACGGGTGGACCCGAGCTGAAAACCCCTCCGCGGTAAGCTACGAGGAACTCCCACACACCGACGACTAGCTACGCGCGGACCCTGCAGACCAGGGACTCGAGGGTACACCCGCCTCACTGTCCGAACGAAGACAGTTCCACGACGTATACGCCCGGCATCAACAATGCCACTCCGCAACCAGGGAGCTCTCACAAAGAGTACACCGATGACCCTCAAAGGTGCAGAGAAAGATAAGGAGGGCAGAGCCCTGTATTAGGGTGGGAAGGGAGGGATGAAAAAAGGAACTCCTGATCTCAGGTCCAATTTCTGGAGATGATATTTTGGCTTGATAGGAAATGGCAGCGGCATGCAAAGGTCAAGCTCATGCTCAAGTGCAACAGCAGTGCCTAACACAGTTCCTACCAAGCAGACAGCACAATAATGATTTCAGCTCACCAAGCCTGCCCGAAGCACTAAGCTGGGCAATATATATATATATATATATATATATATATATAATTTTGGCTCCCGCTTAGCTGTCTGGCGACTGCATTGCAGGTGACAAGTGGATGAGAGGGACTGACTAACTACACAAGAACAGAACTGGGATTCTGAGGAGTCTGCGACCCATGCCAAGTTGGAGTGCAACACACAAGACACCAACCCTAAACCCATAAACACTAAAAGCCAAGTCTACGAAATACTCTCCGGAATGAGTCGCGACACGGCAGTGAAAGGCGATAGCAGTACAAAGGATCGCGGGCAGTCGACTCTGAAAAAGCAAGGTTACCAACACTAAGGTAAGGCCACGCAGGACGTCGACTCTCGCCCCTTACACTCTACCCTCGTCAGTTCAACTGCCAGGAAAAGCGACAACAACAAATCACACGCAACACCTATATATATTTTTATGTACACCCCTACGCTGCTATGTAACCACACTGAATGCAAAATATATTTATTTGCATGCTCCCGCACACACGCGCACATATACGCACATATTACAACCTCTAAACTCAAAGCCGGCTTGCCCGAAGCGGCCTTCAGGCGGAGGCAGCCCAGGGCCTCTGCGGCGCAGACCCGAAGAAGCGGATCCTCGCGGCCCTTCCTGGGGTTTGGGTTTTAACCGTTTCTGAAGCAGTGGTGCAGAAATTGGGTCTCACACTCGGTCGGGCAAAGCAGGCTCGTACAAAAGCGTGCACCTTTCAGGAGCTGCTTGAAAGCTTAGGAGTTAAACTCTTGCTTTTCAAAAGCTTGTGCAGGTCGAGGTCCAATCTTTGGGCTCAGGTTTGAGATTCCGAGCGTCACCCCTGAGAGCAAGCGTCAGTTTTGGTACTTGGGCCTTTTGTTCGTGTGAAGGCCCAACTCTCTCTCTCTCTCTCTCTCTCTCTCTCTCTCTCTCTCTCTCTCTCTCTCTCTCTCTCTCTCTCTCTCTCTCTCTCTCTCTCTCTCTCTCTCTGTGCTTGGCTCACTCTTCTGAATCTGACTCAATCGCATCTCAGCCCCGCGGCAGTCTACGGCAGACTCGCAATGCTAGTGTACCATGGGTAGGCTAAGTCATAAGCCAACCTTTTTATTGCTACGGCTCGCCGGCCCCCAACCTCCAGGCCCAAAGGCCCAAACTGAAACCGAGAAGCCCCTGGAACCTTCAGACCACTATACACGTAGAGCTTGGCTGCAGCCGGGCTACAAGACCTCCTCCAACACCTCCAGAGCCTCGCTGGTGACCTCTGCGTCCCCTCGGAGGACGTCGGTTTTGTTCTTAGCATTCGGTCTTGCGCCTCTTAGCAAAAACAGCTCCGGAAGGAGAGTTCAGCGAGAGAACGAGAAACAAGCCGTGAGAGTGGGGGGGAGGGGGAGAGTGAATGGTACGCATGTCCGTGTAAACGCGGGCACTGTCGCAGAGGGCAGTTTGATCTTGGCGATAGCTCGTCTCGTGTTAAAGCGTCGACTTCATGCGCATGTGCCTGCCGCACCCGGGGGCCAACCGCTCGAGCACGAAAGGGATCTTACTGATTCAACACCAAAATCCTTGAACCCAGGGTCCCGATCATCCGCGTTAAGGCCTCCTTCAGAAGCTAGCCCTGGAATTCCAACAAGCTATACTACAGTCTTATGGCTGCCTGTGAGAACGAGCACACTGTCCCTGTGCTCACAACCCCGAGCTGCATCCCAAACGAAGCCAGCTCTGATCCTTCTTCTCGAAGCCGAAAAACGCAGCAAAAGCTTGTGGAGGCCGTGAACTTAGCTGAACTAAGAAGGCCCGACGAAACTTACACTCCCCGAACCCTGGCCCCAAACCCGCTCTCGGCGCCTCCAGCCATGTCCAGACATCTGCCAAGGCCGTGCACGGCATCTGAAGACTGCTGCAGCCCCGGCTTCCTTCAGAGATTCGTGAATTTGGTGTTCGCGAAATCCGGGTGGAGCTCCGCAGCTGGATGAGGCTCCCTAGGGCCCTAGGGCTTTAGAAGGCTAATGATGTCACACTCACTTGCAACTGCAACTGGCCCACACCCCGTCTGGTGTGCGACGAGTGTCTGCAACAAGAACCGTGCAGCCGCAGGACCCAACATATCGAGGACATGCATCACCTGAGCTCCCAGGTTGCAAATGCTCTTACATATTGGCAGCGTTACGATGTTGTTTGAGAGCTTGAAGAAGCAAAATGCCTCTGGCAGGTCCCAGAGACCCCGAGCGGAGCACAGTCAAGGCATTGGGGGTGGACACAAGCGGATTCTGTAGACGCTCAACCCTTGACAACGTGCATAAACGGTAGAATACGTTGTAAAAATCTAGAAAGCCTTGAAACTCATGAAGCTTGACTTCTAAGTTCAAAGACCTAGACCCACAAGACCAAACCCACCAACCTCTGAATGCTCATCGAACTATAGCCATCTATAGCCTCACCCCCCATGAATCCTTCAGCCGCGCGCCGAAACTGAACCGTCCATGTTCGAGACCACTTTCTTTCGCTTCAATATCGACTGGCCGTCCATTTCCTCTTCCTGACGGAACCGCTAAAGTCTGACACGAAAGATTACTAAACCTCCCAAACCCAAAACCCACATTCAACGCAGACACCCTAAATGCCAGCAACAACAACCCCAATGCCATGAAACTCCCTAAACCCTAAGTCCTAAGCCCCCAAAAGAGAGAGAGAGAGAGAGAGAGAGAGAGAGAAGCCGCAAACTCTCTGAAAGCCGGTGACATTGCGGCCCCGGAGTTGAAGGAGCCTCCGCTGCTCGGCTTGAGGCGCATTTTGAATCATTCTGGAGCTCATGAGCCAAGAGGGGTTTCCATAAGACATAAGTCTAAAACCCTAAACCCGAAAATTCCCAAAGCATAAATCCTTAAACTGCAAGACTGATGCCATGCCAAGCAACTGGTCTAGGGCGGCCACGGTCTTCTCAATCACTGGCAGTCGGCCCTTGCCTAGGGAAAGCTTGCAAAAGTGGCTCCTTGATTCGAGTGGTCCTGGTGCTTAGGATTCCAGAAATACCCTGTCCTGCCTTGCCATGCCCGGTCCAGGGCGTAAACTTGGAAAGTCACAAAATCTCGGCCATTAGCATCCATCAGAGCTCCAACAGCAAATGTAAACTGATATAGCGACCCTTATCACACCTGTAAAGTGCCTTACCGTGACCCAAGACCTGTGAACAAGGACCTTACATCTGCTAACATGCCTGGCCACACAGCCTCGCCAACTGCCACGCCGCAGCCACACGCTGCGGATCCAAGGCATCCTGCGCTGCTGCTGCTGCTGCTGCTGCTGCTGCTGCTGCTACTACTACTACTACTACTACTACTACTACTACTACTACTACTACTACTACTACTACTACTACTACTACTACTACTACTTCCACTTCCACTTCCACTTCCACTTCCACTTCCACTTCCACTTCCACTACTACTACTACTACTACTACTACTACTACTACTACTACTACTACTACTAACTACTACTACTAGCTACTACTACTACTACTACTACTACTACTACTACTACTACTACTACTACTACTACTACTACTACTACTACTACTACTACTACTACTATTACTACTACTACTACTACCACCACATTATGACCACCCAGCAAGATCTGGTTGATCGCCGCGCCGGCCGGTCAAAATTGACATCACCCTGCCACCATGGACGTCCTGCCCAGGTCCTTGAATCAGTTCGGTCACAAGCACCTGCCCAGCCACAGAATGCAGCTTGCGGTGCTTTTTCGACCATTGAATGATCACTCCTTCAGCTGTTGACAAAGGCATTTCGAAGCCTTCCAAAACCTCAGAAGTTCTTTCTAAACCGAAATCCTTAACTCCAAACCCCTGGCACGGTCCTGTAATTCCGTCCCGAAGCTCTCAAATCCATCTTCCATGCAACAGACTTAAAGTCCAGCAGCAAGGAGAAGCCAAATCATGGTCCGGTCTGCTTCCCTTTCTTCTCGTATTCAGCTTCTACGAAGATATCAGCCTTCAGCCGAACCCAAGAAGACTTCGAACCGACTCAAAACTAACCGGAATCCCTGGACTCGACCGCTTGCTGTACTGTATTCGAAAGCCCACGACATGGCCTACAGGCGCCTTGACAAAGCAGTTTTTGGGGCTGGAGGCTTCTACTGTTCCAGGCTTCCATAGACTTCGGTTTCCAAACCCTCAGCCTCAAACCTTTCTAACCCAAACTTCCAAGCAGGCTAGCTGGCATATCATAGTAGAACTACAACCAGGAACATGTAGGAATACTAAGTGCTTCCCAAGCCTACGACTCCAAGGGTAAACCCCAAGTCGGGGAAGGCTTCCACTTGCGGGCCTGAATGAGCACGCATTCCCTGACACAAATTCGGCCACCCGGCCTTCACTGCGTCAGCGTCTGCTTCAGCAGCCGCCTCGGCCGTTGGAGAAGAAACAACCGTGCCTCGAGGTGGTTCTCGGCCCTTGCCGTAAACCGTAAACACGGGTAGGCAAACAGCACTTTGGGCAGCTACACCATCCGCTTCAGAGCCACATCGTCTCTGGTCCCGAAGACAAACACAAGACCTGAATCGAAACGGCCAAAACAAGCCCTTCCAGGCCGTAAGTACCCAGAAGCTTCTCCAGCCACCCTCGGCCCCGCGCCTGAACGCTACAATAAACGCGGAGCACCCCAAACCCACCATGCCGAGCCCCGAGCCTCGCTGCTGCCGGCATGCAGCCAATCCCAAATGCCCTGCCATACAGGCCTTTGGATGATGCAGGGGCTTTCATAGCTGATAGATAGAACAGGCCGTGGGGTTGGGGGGTGTTTTGTGCTGATGTACATAGGGGCCATCAGGCGATACGATTACTACTTACTAAGGACCCTGTAGCATTGTTCAAGCTTCTCGCCTGGGAGTGATGGTCTGTGGGGGGCTCTAGTGTTCTGAGGGTATGTGGGCTTTACGTTTCTTTGGGTTTGGGGCTCAGGATTCAGGGCTTATAAACTGTATCCGGCCAGTCTGAAGGTTCGGGTTTAAGCTTTTTTCGATCCTCCCGGCGCTGCCAGCTCAGAACCGCTAAGCAGCGGTTGAGGGTTCGGAGTTTCAGCTTTAGGATTTGCTCGGCGTAAGGGTTAGGACGACTAGGGCTACTGCACGGGAGCTCGACATCGATAGAAAGACCTTTCCCTCTAGGGTCTCTCTGCAACGGCCCACCTGGCTTTACCTTGCTCTTCCTTTTTAGGTGCTCTTGATGCGGACCGTTCGGCCATGAGGTCGGCTCAGGGTTTCAGGTTCTGCGTTTAGACTGGCAGGTTCTGGGGGCTAGGGTATGATACGCCTGGGGTTCGCAGGACCGGACTGTGGCTTCTTTCTTCGCAGGTGATGGCCAGGCTTACCAGTTTCCTCAGCAATCTCTCAGATGTTTGTGGCAGGTGTTTGCTCAGTTTCCTTTGTAGCCTCAAGTTTGTCCTAGCGAGTCGGTCTTGTTCGGTCTCCTCTTGTCCCTTCTCTCTTTTTAGGATCCAGCGACTGATAAGAAACTGCGGCAGCGAATCATTCCTTGAGGAATTGACTGGATTGGCGGTATGATTCACTGCTTCTGCTCTGCGCATATCTTGGTTTACAAGTACGACCTGGCGTTGGGAGCTCTTCCTGCGTGCTTGGCCTTCGGCTGTGTTAGATTGTACTGCCGGAGGGTGGCCCTAAATCCAAGCCCCTGATCCTCAGTCCTTAAACCCATAACCCAGTCAAGGGGCTGCATGCGAGCCGGCTCATCGATGCCGTCCTTCGAACTCTTCGGGGTTGTCGTTGTTTTTTTAATTTGTCAGTGAGATGCGTTTTGTTGCTGCGCGGCACGTCCAAAGCTACGGTATTCTCTCCTCAATGAACTGCTTCCCCTCCTCCACGACTACTGCGAGGATAACTACTACGTTCAGCCTTGGTTTTCTTCTTGTTCTTGCTACTCCTTCTATTAAATTCTTCTACCATCCCTCACCCTCTTTGTTCTGTTATTGACGGTACTACTACTACTACTACTACTACTACTACTACTACTACTACTACTACTACTACTACTACTACTACTACTACTACTACTACTACTACTACTACTAGCCAAACCCCCCCCCCCCCCTCCCAACTACACTTGTTCCATCCGGGCTGGGCAGCGGTAGCTGCTAGGCGCCTTAACTGCGATAGTTGCAGAAGATGCACGGGCTCAGGCTCCTTATCTGTGACAGCTGCAGAAGTTGCAGAGGCTCAGTGTCCTTA